AATAATTAAATTCAAAATATTAATTTCAGAGCATGTTATAGTTTTAGGTCTAGTTTTAGTTTAGTTTTGTTTTTCATCTCATGTCATGTGTTTTTAGCAGCTCTTTTCCTCAGCCTTGTCACGGCCCTGCTCCCCCTCCCTTCACAGATCCTCAGGTAATCAGCTCATGCAACTCACCTGTGTCCCTCTGTATGTAAGCCAGCGGTTTCCCTCAGCGCTCTGCCAGTTTATCATCAGCCAGTCTATGATTCACCAGCATTCTTGTCCCATGTCCTGTTCTGATCTCGGCTCCTCGACCCCCTTCTCGTCCCTTGGATTACCACCTCTTGCCTCAGCCCGTGTCTGATACCTTCTGCCATCTGCTCTTCTGGTAATGACCCTGTTTCTGTTTCTCGGACTCCTGCCCCTTGTCTCTCCCTTGCTCGGCACCACGACACCTCAGACTTCCTGGTTCTCGACCCCTGCCTGCCTCCCGGATTCAAGAGTTAAGTTTGCTCCTCTTAACCTGTCGTATTCTCTGATCCCTCTGTGTATGACCCTCGTCTTTCCCTGGACCCTGGACCCGTTTCTCGGACCCGCAATGCTCCCAAGGATTGCCGGTGACGTAATCGTCTTTCTCTGGAACCAAACTGACACAGTCGGTGTTCCCACACGGAGGCTCCCAGTTGACACCAGGTTAGTGGCTAAAAATACTAGTAGTATTTTAAAATACTAGTAGTATTTTGTCCCAGAGTCTTACAGCCACTAACCTGCTTTTTCTGTGTCCAGAAAACTGGACCCATGCACCTGGGTTGTTCAAGCTCCACACCAGCAATTTTAATAAAATTTGTAAAGCTTTATCTGTTTTCGGGTTTTTATCAGAGCTCAAACTCAAATCCTTAACAGAGCACATAACAGAAAAAAATGAATGCCATAAAACAGACCAAATACACTACATTATTTTTTTCTACTTAGCACATTCATAATTCAGGTCAGTCTGGTCTAATCAATCATTAATATTTGAAAATAATTTTATATTTTCATCTTGTGGCTTGTGAACCAGCAAACCAAATAATCTGTTCACTGCTTGTGGAAATTAAATGTTCTACTTTTATTGAAAGATTTACTTTAAGGTGAAAAATTAAAGATACAGTATCCACTAAACTGAAGCATTTATCTTATGACACTCACTTCTTTTAAATTACAATCTTGAGCTAATTTTGATAAATCTTTCTGGGATTTCAAACTGACGGCAGCAAATCCTTTGATACATCTTAAAACTTTGGTTCGTGTCACAACAGTTGTTTAAATTAAGTGATCTTGCCTGCTCTACAGCAAGACGAAAAGGGGCTGAGATGGAAAGAAATGATGGACATTATGAGGACAGACAGGAGACAGGAAGAAGCAGGGAGAACGGGAAAAAGTGGTTGTAAACTTGCCAAACGTCCAAACTCTTGAATTATTCCTCTCATCAACATGTACAGGTTTTTTTTTTCACGATAACTAATGAAACATTCATGCTTTGGATAGCCCACTTRAAGAAAAAAGACAAATAGATTGAGGTGAGAACGAGGACGTTGCGTCAAAAGAAGACAAGCTCTGAGTTTGGAACACATGTGCTTCTCATTATTGCACTTTCAGACCTGTCCTCCGAGCTGCCAAAGGCTGGAAGCAAATGCATGTGAACGTGCACAAGTATAGGAAAATATGTTTCCGAAGCTTCATATCTGTGCATTTTGGAGTGTGACCACCTGTCTGTGGACACACGAGCATAAATAATTAATAGGGCTCTTGATAGCCTCTCGATGAAATCCAGTTTTCCTCTCAGCGCAGGGGCCGCCAGCGCAGACTGGCTTATTTAAACAAATTGTGAAAAAAGGCTTTATTCTCTGTCCATCCATCTTTTTTACCTAATGTATCCCCCTTAAAATATCCCTGTGAAGGTTTTGTAATATTGGAACCTGAGCTGTCTGCAGAGGAACTTCGTTGTCTTGGACCCGCTCACCCCCACAGAACAGGGCCCACCCAACATATTTGCAGCCAACACAACTTGTTTGTTCACATTAGGAGTTTATTTTATTTCTTAAACATTTTTTCCTTGAATGGCGTCACCACCTTTGTTATTGCTGTTC